AGAAAATTGGAAATTATTTAAAATAACTTTTTAGTATATTAGAGAATATGGAAAATATGCCAATAAGTGTTTTCATGTGTTACAATTTGTGTATTCATTTTAGTTCATTATAAATTGATATCCATATACTATTTGAGTGCCCAATGAATTCATTTAATGTCACTTCAATGTTAATATAATTCACTTATTTTCTTGTTACCAAAACTACTACAGAATTGTATAGATTCTACTAACCAATGATTTTTAAATGGCGAAACATCTCTGAGTGCTTTCCATTTATTCAGACCATTAATAATTTAACAAAATTCTGTAATAAGAAAAGAAATGTTAAAATATCATTTTGTTTACACATAAAGAAATACAGTAAGTTTATCTGATCAAAGTCAATCTCAATAAATTTAGAAATGCATGTGAATTATGTGAAAATAGTAAATTGTATTCACATGTGTTGTATTGTATAATACTTGAATGACATTTGAACTATATTTTGATTTGAATCTTATCATGGAATTACCGTTATGTAAATCTTGGACACAAATATTTTGAAATTGTTTAAAGTTTAAAAAGTATTAACTTAAAATTAAACTAAGTCACCAATCTCAACGTTTTAAATCTCAATTTAAATTAAATAATAATTTATTAATATTAAAAGAACATGTTAATTATTGAAATATTTACCACTAAAAATAATTCAATTCCTCCAGCATAACATTCATATTAATGACTTACAATTGTTAGTTTTATTTTAATAAATATTTTAAAATTTTTGAACATTTTCACAATATTTATTTAACATTTAATTGCAATAATCAAAATGTACCAATATAAGAAATTTACCTAAAGTCTTATTATAAGTTAGTTATTTACCCCAAAAAGAGCTAACCTTTTTTTTGAAATAACTATATTTAATTCAATCTTATTAATTAATTTATTATATAAATAAAGAAACAAATATTTATATATTTTCGTATTTATAAATATGTTTACATCATACTGTATTAATATTAGTTTTGTTCAATTATTGTTAGTATTCAATTTTTATATCTAAATTTTTATGTTTATGTTTTTATATCTGAAACCGTCTAAACAACAAATATGTTAAATTAACATCATAACATCACTTTTAATTTAAAAGTTTTAAACTTTAAACTTAAAAATTATATTTTAATACCATTATAAGAAGTATACAGTACATATTAATTTACACTGTCTTGCAAATTGTATTCATTTCAATAATTAAAATTTTTAAAATAATAAATCAATACTTTGAAAGTAATATGTTTTAGAATATCTTTATGTGGTTAGAGAATAAAATTTGAAAATCATTATACAGTATATGCTATATATGATATTAAACAATTATTTTAAATTATTATATTAAGCAGACGTTTCCAATAATATTGAATGCATTGCAAATGATTGAATCAAATGCACACACGAATGGTATCGATTGGAATCTCGACCATATAAAGGGGTAATTATTGAATACTTTCACCAATTCTATGCATAATTTTTTGAAAATTAATTATTTATTTAATTAGAATTAATTTAGTATTTAATAAAAATAAAAGCGATTTAATAAACAAAGGCTATTTTCATCACAAAAGTATTCCGATTATAACAGAATGTTGTCATTCAACCGAAGAGACTATTCAACCAAAAGGTAAATTTGGTGCCAAACATATTATCTTAAAATTATGAGATTTACCAGAATAGTGTCTGTAGGTGTCTTGGTTATTTTTGAGGAATTATGTTAATATTTAGGTAGTCATAGGAAATCTGTAATTCTATCTAGAAGCATTTGAAAGATGTTATATTAAAAATATGAATATTATCAATTGTCTTATTACAATACTGTACTATAATATGAAATAAATGTATCAATGACTGCATAAAAGGTAGAAAATATTGGCGAGTATTCATAAGATTTGCAAAATATGTCAGACATCTACTCTAATGTTAAAGAAGAATATGATGACCATAGGATCAGATTGTTGATGAATCTTAAGTGAAATATAATTATAATAACATAACTAATTGACCTAGATAACAATCTAAAAACCAAGCATTAAAATTATAAAAGCATTTTAATGAAATAAACTTAAAATTCAATTTATTATGATTATGATCTTATTAACAAGTTTTAATCCATTGTATTCTATCAAATTGATTTGATTTGATAGTTTAATAAAATTGTACCTGATCAAATGAATAATTAGTTCATCAATTTACACCAAACAACAGGAGGCGTATCGAAAAGTGGGCGAATACTAGAGCTGTATAGGGATGAGAACTCGACGCAACATTTTTTTCAAATATCGTGCAAAGAAAAGGGCAAACGATGTGGTCGTCACCCCGTCTTAAAGGCATTGTCTCAGCGTTTTCAATGCGTTCAGAAATATAGCTTTACTTACGCTTTGGTCAGAGAATTCAATGCACCAGAAGTGAGAGTCCATTGCATACCTAATCATACGATTATCTCATGACAAACACTTTGAATTGCTTTACAAATCAGCTACGGTACCGCATACCTGATGTAAGCGTAATCCTTACCGACGAGGACGCTCGCGTGGTTTATTACTAGTATAATACTCATGTAAACCTAAGTAAAACATGTAATGTAGGTAGCTATTCGATTTGTTTATAAATTAATAGTCAAACCAATGTTCATTTGAAAGCAATTATGATTTCTAAAACACAATAATAACACATAACTTATAATAACATTAAATAGTGTACCAGTTTATTGTCTAAACAGTTTTATTGTCATTATTGAAAATTTTGTAATTTTTCTTTTAAACTTAAATCTAGTGTAATATAGAATTTAAACTTTGATAACAACTGTTTGGCATTCATTATATCGTGAGACTCAAATGCTAGTGAAAGTGCATGGATTACTTTTGTCATATTCTCCTCATTAGCCTTCAAAATATTTAGTAACTTATTCTTTGAGTTCATATTTTCTTCGATGTCTTCATTCACTTTCATTATATCCGTTAAAAATTGTGAATCAACTCGTGTCTCGTCTAAAAATGTTAATAATAATCAATTTGTTGTCATTTATTAATTTAAACTTATTTTTAAAAATGTATCAAATTTTATAAAAAAAAGTAATAAAGAATAACTATTATATTATGTAATATTTACTTATAAGTTATGCATTAACAGTACTGTCATTTTAATAAATTCATACAGTAGGTCGAAATGTTATATTTTACCAGTAAGTTGTTATATTCACTATAAAAAGGTATTTCAAGTAAGCTAAACATACCGGTATTACTTTGTAATGGTAAGTAATTTAGAAATAGGTATTAGAATAAGAATAGTAAAGGTAATGGTGGTTAACTAACTTTCCGGTTAAACTTATAACGAATTAAAGTTATTTATCTAAGGGGCGAGTATACCTAACGGCTCGCAGAACATTCGGGACAAATATTCGCTGCTTAACAGGCGACTTATGCAGACAAGAGAGACAAGTTGTTACAACCAAATCATCAATCAATCAGTCATTTCAAGGATTGCAATAATTGCTAAGAAAATGCAAATCAAATAAATGTACGGCAATCACATATACAGTATGAATGGCACTGTATATGTCATGGACAGTGAGCCCTATCTGTACACTACTCTATCACTACTACAGTCCATCACAACAATCAAACAACTGATGGATCTATTGGAGGACATCATAACTAACTTCACAAGTATTGGCGTATTTGTCGGGATGTGTTGCCATTTGAAGAGTTTTATAAGTGTTGTGCAAATGAGACAAATTGATGTCAAACGAGACATTTTGTCCAAAGAGTTCAAAGTAATTGAGATCCCAATCGAGAGCTTGAATTGAATGGCATTTATCACAAAACACTAATACTTGCGATCCATTGAGCCTTTCATTGCATTTCCAACTGATATAACGTTTGTAATCATAAATGAAAACATTAATACATTTGAGACTATATATTGAAATAAAGGCCGAAATGAATACCAGTTTCGGTTGACTTGAGTCTCGTGTGAGAAGTGTTTGGTTTGCATTGACTGGACATCGAGTGATGGTATTTGTCTGCAAATGAATGCATTATAATAGCAATGAATCTCATGTTTGCTTCGAAGCCATGTCTGCTTCCTATGAAAGACTGTCATTGAATACAATCTACACTTGGATTGCAATCCATAGAAATGTTTCAAACAATTAAATGTCATTTGACTATACATTTAGACATTGAGTGACACGTGAGACACAAACACACAAACGGGTGACACTTTTGCAGACACCGTTTGACTGCATGCGCGCCATGAAGAGGACAGCACTGGTTGTATTGGCACTACTGTCCAGTCAGTGCACACACAGTACAGGGATGTGAGAGTGGGGGTAACGACCTTGAAATGCAATGTTGTCAACAACTTATGTCACCAATTTGAATATTGCTTAATTTCAATAAATAGATTCCCCGCTCATATGGATTGCCGAGCGTCTTGTAAGCCCTGTTTATAAGCGACGAATTGTCCGCTGAATACGTCTGTTCTCTCTGTTCAACAATCAACCAAACCATCAATCAATCAATCATTTCAAGGATTGCAATATTTGCTAAGAAAATGCAAATCAAATAAATGTACGGCAATGACATATACAGTATGAATGGTACTGTATATGTCACGGGACAGTGAGCCCTATCTGTACACTACTCTATCACTACTACAGTCCATCACAACAATCAATCAACTGATGGATCTATTGGAGGACATCATAACTAACATCACAAGTATTGGCGTATTTGTCGGGATGTGTTGCCATTTGAAGAGTTTTATAAGTGTTGTGCAAATGAGACAAATTCATGTCAAACGAGACATTTTGTCCAAAGAGTTCAAAGTAATTGAGATCCCAATCGAGAGCTTGAATTGAATGGCATTTATCACAAAACACTAATACTTGCGATCCATTGAGCCTTTCATTGCATTTCCAACTGATATAACGTTTGTAATGATAAATGAAAACATTAATACATTTGAGACTATATATTGAAATAAAGGCCGAAATGAATACCAGTTTCGGTTGACTTGAGTCTCGTGTGAGAAGTGTTTGGTTTGCATTGACTGGACATCGCGTGATGGCATTTGTCTGCAAATCAATGCATTATAATAGCAATGAATAGAGTGTTTGCTTCGAAGCCATGTCTGCTTCCTATGAAAGACTGTCATTGAATACAATCTACACTTGGATTGCAATCCATAGAAATGTTTCAAACAATTAAATGTCATTTGAATATACATTTAGACATTGAGTGACACCTGAGACTAGGAAAGCGAATTAGGGGTGGTTTCAAAGCCATACGTTCAATGAATTGGCGCTTACTTTGAAACCCTAGCTGTCAACCAATAAAAACAATACGTACTCATTGAATAAAACTGTATTTAAAGGGACAGCTATGATATCCAATGATAAATAACGTTTTAAATTGAAACAATAGTTTCATTAATAAAATAAATATTTATAAATTATTAATTCCTGATTATTTATTTGTGAAGTTTTACAAAATTAAAAATTTTAAGAAAAACAATAACTAAATTCTATTACAAACATTAAAACAATAATATAACATTTATACAATCAGATCTTATAAAAATGATATGACAAACTCGTCGCTCATTTGCTCCAATTGTTTGCTTAAGTATTGGATTTCTCTGTCAAATAAGTGGTCAAAGAGTTGTAAATAATTACGAAATAAATGTCAAAACTAATGCATGAATTACTCGCAGATATAGTCGTGTTCTTCGTGCAAATCAAAGAGCAGTTCTTTGATCTCTGTGTCCAACACCTGCTGTCGAATATCTTGCGCACCGGTATGTTGTGGTTGCGATGACTACACAACTGGTTGTGCTGTTTAAGCCCCGATATTTCCAACTGTCGGTTAGTTATCACTGAATGACTGTTTAAGGTCTATATGCAAATAAACTCACATTTAATTGACAATCACTTGAAACCCAGTTCATACATACCGTTCCCAATAGAGAAGGTATGTCTTTATACTGGAGGTGAAAGTGGTTGGATGGCTTGTAGTGGGCGCCGGCTGTCCATGACTTGTGGTTAATGGCGTCCAATGAGCGGGACTTTGGCATCGCGTGTGTCGTCCCCGACATCATGTCTCTGATGGCGTGAATGGATGACTCGAATCTGTTATCACATGAATGTCTGTACAGATTGTCGCCAACACTACCGCCGTTTAGTCTCTCATTCGCACCGTTGGTTGGCGCCGTTCCCGTCGTCGCCTTCTTGTGTCCATTACTTATGGCCAAAGGCTGTCCACCGATTTTACTGGTATTGAGGCGCACGTGTGTCCCATCATCACCACTACTGCTCCCCAATTGCATGGATATTGTCTTCAACTGTAACTCAATTAACTTCAACCGCACGTCCAGTGATTCGCCGCTATTCTCGTCGCATTTCTTGTGGTGAACACATGTATTGGTGTGACTGCGGAGGACTGCCGCTCATCACCACCACCTCCGCGGTCACCATTCATGGCATCAGTGGGGGCACAGTTGGCACAGTATGTGCTGGTCGTGGCGACCGTTGGCTTATTGTGGATCAGTTTGTGGTGACTGTTGATTGTCACTAAGAAACGGTAGCTGTCGTACTTATCGTCTAGTCTACTATTATTTACACTAAAAGACTTCTCATTACACGAGTCAATACTTGTGGCACTTAATAGGGAATTATTATTTTGATGGGAACTGTTATCCACTCCGGACATCAAATATCAAAGTATTTACGGAACAGTTGTCTGACTCTGAAGAATCATCACATGATTTGCCACTCATTTGTAAATCATTGTCCTACTCATTGAAATACACAACCGTTTGATCCAAGTCTTCATTATTGAAATTTGTTTTTGTTATAATTAATTATAACTAATTCTCTAAGCGTTTCGATTGTAATATTTGGCCGATTTTGAAGTATCATCGAAATGGTTTTGAAACTGCGCTCAATATCACAACTGGTCAGGGGGGCGTACAAATAGTTCTCATTTTGAATATTTAAAAATTCAATCAAATCGGGATTATTTGATAAATTGAATTCTAGTTTATCTAATGCTTTCCCTGTAAGCATTTGCTTTGATTGTTCTATTAAATTATATGCAGTAGTGGTCGTAATAAAATTTGATTCAAGTTTTTTAATAAAATTGGTTAAAAAATTCATTTCATTCACAATATTTAATTTATTAATAAAATCACTGGAGTTTAAATTATTAATTATTATTATTCGCTTTTTCTTATTATCAGCCGAAAGTTTGATTTTTGTTTCTGTAATATAACTCCTAAAATGAAAATAAATGTAATGATTTCATGAATAACTTATATTCCGTATCGTATGAGATATTTGGCGCAAATATTCTTCACGAATGTGTGTCGGGATAGTAGGGAAGTGCCCATTGAATAGCATTAATGGCATGAATGGCAATAAATTGCTTCAAAAACTAACTAATCATTACTTTTGTCACAAACATCCAAAGGATTGCCATCAAATCATATGATTGCTTAACAAAAAAGTTATGCGTTCATTGGGTTTATGTAAATATATTCGAAATAATTTGTAGAAAACATTGCAAATTATTGTAACCAAGAATTGACACATAACAGCCCCTAACAGCATATTCTGATAGCCCGGACACTTCTTCGCACAGTATTGCTGTCCCTTTGGTGGCAATCATACAATCGCTTAATGAGTACTGTTTTCAATCAACACTCAAATGAGACTTTCTTTAGATATTTTTTATACGAGAAAATATTTATTCAGGTGGAAAATAAATACAGTATTATTTAGATACTGTATATACATGTATTACAACACAGAATATTCTGTTAATATCAAGTTTTAAATAAGCAAAATACGTAAATGGTCCAGGATATTATAAAAGTTAGACACTTGTCATGAGAATAGAAGCAAATTATAAAAATGTGCTGAGACTACAGCACAATATCCCGTAAATTTATAAGCTACTGTATATCGTACTGTACTATGGTCTGATATTGTAGTTATGTTACATAATACTGCACAGAAGTATAATTTTGACAAAATATTTTTTAAAACATACCTTATTTTGTCGAGATTTGTGACATAATATTTAAGAGAATTAAGCCATGTTCCCCAGCGAACGCTACTAAATCCTGGGGGAAGTGATAATTTTGTCGTATTTTTGAAGTCCTCTGTAATGGATATAATATATATTTAGCAAATTAATGCAGTGAAATACATAACAAGTTGTAATCACAGAAATTCATACAAATGTTTTACAAACCTATTATATTGGAACACTTCAAAAATTTATTCGCAATTTCCATAAATTTGTTTATTTCATTATTTTCAGTGCTTATTGTTTCGCAAACTCTATGCAGGCAATGGCATAGGCATGTAATATGCTTGAGATTAATGAATGTATACATGTTTTTGATGTTTGCAAAACAAGATGTCATATAATTAGCCTGGTCTGACACAACCAAATGAACGTTTTCAAATTGGATATTATATGAATATAATAAACCCAATGAAGCAATAAAGGTTTGTCTGATTTCAAGTTCATCCGGACTTTTATCAAGTTTATCACAATAAAATAGAAATGAGTTTTGTGTACCTCCATTAAGAAGGCCACATATCACATTAACGATGTGTTTATTGCTTTTAAAAGAAGCATCAATTATTATATAAATTGGTTTGCCATCAATTGTGTGCTGAATGTGATTAATGTAATCAATATATAGATTTGGGCGATAAGTCTTTGCAAGAGTTGTATGGTTTTGAATTTGTTGTAATTCATGTCTCTGTTCAAAACTTTTCACTCTATTATCACTCAATTTATATAATGGTATATTATGTTCACAATAAACTTTGGTGATCTCTCGATTAATATCATTTGTTATATTTTGTTGATTAGGATTCAATTGTTTGGAAACATTATGTCTCTTAGTATTGAGATGTCTTTTGAGGGTTCGGCTCCGATGCCTTATATCACAAAAATATTTTTTGTCACAGTATTTACATTCAACATAATCTTTGTCTAAGAATATGCCATCACTGGCTGTTAGCCTCCGTTGAATGGCATTTAATTTCATATTCTCAGCCATTATTTCACAAATAAACCAATTATTATTACACTTTATCACAAAACTTATGACTATTTTTATCACAAACTTTAAATATATCATATAATTAAAAACAATTACTTTGACATCAATTGACACACATTTGAGACACCAATTGATTCAATCAAAAACTCAAAACAATTTTGTTTCAGATCTTCTTCACCGTAAATGTTGGCCAATGTCAGCAACTGATCCATAATTGTATTTGTTATAATCAAATGTGTGAACCAGAACTTGAGGAATATGTTGCCAATGGATCAGCTGTTGATGACTCAAACGCCTGTCCACTCAGATATTCATTCGACAGGTTTGACGAGAATATCACCCAAAAGATACTGTCGTTCTTGAGATTCAGTGATAGCGTGCGCTTTGAATCCGTGTCTAAGTTATGGCAAAGTTTTGTTTACGAGAAGCGAACGCAACTCTATCTGGAGAGCCATGAAGAGGAAGATCATTACTCTTCACTCAATGGTTTACTCCGAACCCTCACTGTCACGGACTACACCACCAGTGAGGCCTCAGGGATGGGTTATAAATGCATTCATAAACGCCATTTGAGATCAATTCTCCCCAAATGTCAGACCATCGAAGAGATCTATTTTAGCTGTTATTGTGACGAAGAGGTGATGCAAATAATAGCAGAGTTTTGTCCACAACTTAAAAGTCTTAAAATGGATATAATGGGTATCAATGAGAAGTGTCTTCTGGAGTTTAGCCACAAAATGGGGCACCAGTTAGAAGTGGTTGAGTTTTATAACTCAGAGTGTGTGCTCAATTTGCTCAATTTTGGGCTCAATTTTGTGAAAAAGTTTTTCCAATTTTGTCCCGACGTTAAGAAGTTGTATATTCAGGACACCATTGCTCTGATCAATGAAAATGAGGGCTTTTTGCCAAATATTCAAGTGTTATATAACTTTCAATTAACTGCTAATACTCTAAACATATCGCAAATATTGGCCACAAAATACAGTCATGTATTGAAAGAATTGAGTCTTTATTTGCATGAATTGAATGCAAGCCATACGAAGACTTTAATCACTAATATATCACGCATTGAAAGTCTAGAAGAACTCAATTTAGTGATTGTGTTGAATGAGACCAATAAAAGTGATGACAATACCAACGATCAGATTATATGTTTAGCCACCGGCTGTTCAAAGCTTAAGAATTTTGATCTCGAAATTCGATGCAATGGTTTAGATATGAGCCGTTTGTTGGATTCGTTTGAAAGTTTTAAATCATTGGTTAAACTGGATGTATGTCTTGACAAGTGTGAGCAATAGATTGATGGCAGTGTCGAGTGTCTCAAGAATTGTCCAAATCTCGTCTTTGACGATTGATATTGAGTCGATGGTATAAATTATCTATAAGTTTAAAACAAATGATTTCATTAAATAATTAAAAATAGATTTATTGTATATATTGTTTGCATAAACTCTCATTAAATATAACCAATTGATTGATAAGACATAAATATTAATAACACAATACACACACTAATAATAACTACAATAATAGACTCTTTACAGTTATATAACATCTAAATAGTAGACAATTAGCTGTGAAATGGGATCTAATTGAATGATATATAGTGGAAAATATGGTAATAAGAGTAATGACATGACAGTCAAGATATGAATAGACATACCATTGAATGAAATCAACTGAACGGGCAATGAATGGGCAGAAAAGACACGACCGAAGGGGAGGTTGTCTTCAGTGAAAGTGTCGGAGTCGGGAGAGACTGAGAGTCCGAAAGTGGAGTGCATTTGTGGGACAAGTATAGCACTGCCATTGGTTTGGGATGCGCTCAACACATTGGACAGACTGCGGGCTCTCTGACGCTAATCACTGGTCAACTGAGTGTCTGCTGAAGACTAATGACTGGTATGACTGGAGTGAGTGTTGGGTGCGTTGAGTCGAGTGCTGTTGGATCTGCTGGACGAGTGGCTGTAGTTGTGGTCATAAACATAAAACTACTTTTTATCGCCACTTCTATCGTACATTCGCTGTCAATGCGATATCGTTGGATCAGTCTTCAGGTGATCACCGATCGGACCAATGGTTTGTCACTTCACTGACACGACAGAAAAGTGATTCCTCTAAGGTTCACTTCTTGACAACTGACGCACTGTTTGTCACAAATTGTCACACATTTGGCGCTAAGCTTTTATTTCAAAAACTTCCGCTCAATTCGTTAATAAGTTTCATACAAAATACACGTTATTTATTACTGGATATCATAGCTGTCCCTTTAAATACAGTTTTATTCAATGAGTACGTATTGTTTTTATTGGTTGACAGCTAGGGTTTCAAAGTAAGCGCCAATTCATTGAACGTATGGCTTTGAAACCACCCCTAATTCGCTTTCCTACCTGAGACACTGCACACACAAACGGGTGACACTTTTGCAGACACTGTTTGACTACATGCGCGCCATGAAGAGGACAGCACTGGTTGTATTGGCACTACTGTCCAGTCAGTGCACACACAGTACAGGGATGTGAGAGTGGGGGTAACGACCTTGAAATGCAATGTTGTCAACAACTTATGTCACACAACACACTATTACGTCGGCACACACCCACCCACACCACCTGTCACTGCATATGCGAATGCATCCCATTATGCCACTCGCATAACGTGAAAAAGGGGGTCAATTGTAGCCCATATGCACTGTCATTGTATTCGTGAACACAATGTGATTGAAGTGGTAAACAAGTGAGACATACATTTTGACACACATTACCACACACTCAGTGAGTGCCTCATCCGAGTCCTGAACACATTGTGGCCATCGTTGCANGTAGCCCATATGCACTGTCATTGTATTCGTGAACACAATGTGATTGAAGTGGTAAACAAGTGAGACATACATTTTGACACACATTACCACACACTCAGTGAGTGCCTCATCCGAGTCCTGAACACATTGTGGCCATCGTTGCAGCATATAGTGGACGGGCAATAGGCAAACCGTGGCCAAGTGACCAGGGTAACTGCTGTACGACTACATAGCTTAGGTGTGTTTGTGTGTTATGTTGGACGCATGCATGGCGTCCACAGATGTGGTTGCGTTACAGTAGACAGTGCTGTGAGTGTGCCATACAGTTGAGCAATGAACGGGAGTCACTCGCATACAACGGATTGCGTGATTGAGTCCCTCTAATGCGTAACCAATGCCTAACATTACGTTATATGATGTGAACGTTTGCAGTGAATGACTCACTTATGGCTCCAAAAGCTATGTTTTAGTGCTAATAGTGTTTGTCATCCATTGTATTGAGTTTATGTGAATATTATTCAACTAAGTCTTGAGATCACAATCACGACAGCGGATCCGGTCATCGAAATGATTATTCTAATGCCTGTTATGTAAGCCTTGGAAGCAATTGTCCAAAAATGGTCTTTTCAGTGATTGGCGTCCTTTTGATGTCTATTGCCTGTTGTATGGATCAAGTGATGGCTCAAGAGTTTGGTAAGTGTCCGACCATTTGATGATCACTTGTATGACACGACTATTGTCCACACAATGTACGGATCCATTGAATGATAGTGTTTTCGTGCTATATACAAGATATACAATACATTGGATCCTTACAAATGTGTGAATCCCTAAAGACATCACTCTTTGCATGTTTTGTCAATTGAAATGTATTTAGTTTCCAATCATTTCTATTGTGTCAACTGTTTCACACCATTTACACGAATCTACTATTCAATGCTTTTTGCAGTAATCATTACATTTAGACACCGTTTTGATCATTATTTGCTAAACAATTGTTGACAAAATATGTTACACTTTCATACAAATGTTAGCCAAATGTTTACAAATAAACACCAATTTATTGATTTCATAAGTGATGCCATGATTTGTTAAATTGTTTTCATTCATCACTTTATTTTATTATTTAATGAAAACATTGATTGTATGACAGTTTTAAAGTTATTGTCAAATAGAGATAGTGATCAACAATATTGTCAACACCTCTCTCTCCTCTCTCTCTCTCTCTCTCTCTCTTTCTTTCTTTCTTTCTCTCTTTCTAATAAAATGTTGAGACAAATGAATGAACGACTGATACAATGATATGATTAACTGAATTGGTGTTAATGTGTTACAGTGTGTGGAAGTGTTGACATCAGGAATACTGTGGAAAACTTTAATAAACTGAAGAACTGTACTGTAGTTGAAGGACACGTACAGATAGTATTGTTAGACAACGGAACGCCTAAAGATTATGAAAACCTGACGTTTCCGGCGCTCAGAGAAATAACCGATTATTTACTGCTGTTCCGGGCCATGGGTTTACCCTCTTTGGGCAAACTATTTCCTAATCTATCTGTGATTCGGGGCCGCAATCTGTTCCACGACTTTGCGCTCGTTGTCTACGAAATGCTTCATTTGCAACAATTAGGCCTCCGATCCCTCACTCACATCGTTAGGGGCGCCGTTAGGGTCGAGAAGAACCCTAACCTTTGCTTCGTTGAGACTATAGATTGGGACAGAATAGCAAAAAGTGCCAAAAATGGTCATTACATTCACGTGAGTTGTTTTAGTCGACATCTCTTGCAACACATTTTTATTTGTTGTATAAATATGTGATAATCAGGGAAACAAAGCCCGAAAGGAGTGTCCGATCTGTAGTTCCCAGTGTCCCTACAGTAGTGCACGAACTTTGGACGGAAAACCAATCGGCGATCAAAGCGGAAGACTTTGTTGGAATTCTCAGAGCGATTACTGCCAGAAATGTAAACCAATTTATCAATTGTACGCAAAATTGAGTTAATTATGTGTTTGTTTGACCCGTAGTGGCGTGTAATCCAGTCTGTGAAGCAATGAACGTCTCGTGTTCGCGTTCCGGCACCTGTTGTGACAAAAACTGTTTGAGTGGATGTAGTGATGACTCCCAACACACATGTTTTGCGTGTCAGAAGTTTTTCTATAAGAATAAATGTCAGGAAAATTGTCCAAAAGATACATTTGAGGTAAAAGTTAACGATACGTTTAATGTTGTTTGAAATGACTAATGATTTGTTATTCAGTATTTGGGCCGAAGATGTATTAGTGAAGAGGAATGTTTACAGATTTCAGCCAAATATTACAATAAGGATACATTCTTGAAGCCTATTAACGGCACCTGTACTGCTGACTGTCCCCCTGGCTTTAGTGAGAACAGTGAAAACAAACATACCTGCGATACCTGTCACGGCCCGTGTCCTAAAGGTTTGTCAATGCGTTTATAAATGTATAACTCATTCATTATTATGGGACTAACCTCTGGTGTCCAACAGTATGTCCGGCAGCACAGGTGACTAATATAGCGTCCGCCCAGAGTCTCAGGGGTTGCACTAAAATCAATGGTTCGCTTGAGATTCAGATCCAGAGCGGCGGAGGTATTGATAGAACCGATGCAAGTGTTTGACTGAATACTAAGTTTGATTGAATTGATAGCTAATGTGATTCGCGAGTTAGAGGAGAATTTGCAGCACTTGGAGGAGATAACGGGTTTCCTGAAGGTAGCAAGGTCATTCCCACTCATCACTCTCAACTTTCTCAAGAAGTTACGAGTCATTCACGGCAACCAATTGGAGAGAAATGAGTTCGTTTTCATTGCATTTCGCCATTAATTGACATTTGTTTCACACAATTGTATTGTATTTCATATCAGGTATTCTTTTCTGGTTTTGGATAATCCAAACCTTCAGGACTTATGGAGTTTTGATGACAACAGTATAAGAGGCAGCGAAAAGCCCTTAACTATATTAAAGGGCAAAATATTTTTCCATATAAACCCTAAATTATGTTATAATAAGATCGAGAAAATGTACAAAACCTACGCCAATATAACGCGGCACAGCCCGCCCTGGGATACTCACGACGTGTCGCCCCATTCTAACGGTGACAAAGTTGCCTGTGAGGTACAGGAGCTGAACGTTCAGATTTGGCGCAGGGGTACAGAAATGGTTGGCATTCGCTTCCAAAACTTTAGGGACAAGATGGATGACCAGCGCTCTCTTCTCGGATATCTTATATACTATAAAGAATCGTATGATTTGTTTCCTGTTTGCCTTTCCATCCATTTTCACATACCTTTCCCTTTCCGCAGCCCTTATAAGAATATAAGTATATATGACGGACGGGATGCCTGTTCGACCAACTTCTGGAAAGTGGACGACTACGAGGCCAGTGATAACGACGACCCATATATTACTCACATTATTCCTCAACTCAAACCATTCACTCAATACGCGCTTTACATTAAGACGTATACGATTGCATCGGAAACAAAGGGCGCTCAGAGTGCTGTCATTTACTTCAAAACACAAGAAGACAGTCAGTTGTTATGCAAACTATTCACTGCTTGTACTCATTGAATGCATTCTCTCGTATGACAGCTCCCTCTCAGCCCAGGAAACTCAGCGCTCGTTCAGAGACTCCATCAGAGATTATCATAGAATGGGACGAACCGTCGCGTCCTAATGGAGAAGTGACTCACTATGTAGTGACCGGAACTCCTAATTCACGAGAACTTGATTTTCTAAATGAGAGGAACTATTGTACCGAACGTACGCTCAGAACTCAGATATTTGCTATGATTTGATAGATTATTAAACTAATAATGATTGTCTAATCAATAGCCATAACACACGATACGCCCAAAAAGATTGTCGACGAAACGCCGGTCGATAACAACTGCACTCAACCGCACAACCCATGGCTTCTCAAGAATAGATCCAACTCTGACTCGGATGAAGAGTGTTGTTCGTGTCGTCCCTCTTCTATTCCAGACGACGCCGATGCCGAGCGACGAATTAGTTTTGAAGACCATCTCATTAACACTATTTATGTTAAAAAGTATATCATTTCATGTCTCGTATGAACACTATATTTAATATTTGTTGCGTTTGTTATGACAGAGATCTCAATATTTTTGACAAATCACTCGCAAGGAGGAGGAGGAGGAGAGAGATACCTAAAAGTCGAACAAATCTTGTGATGGCATTGTCAACAGAAAACGTGACGAATGCCACCACAGAGGAGACCACCACTGCAGCCAACCCTCACTTCCAGCAAAATGTTACCATCAAAAAGGTGCGAATCTCTGATTTGAATCACTTCACCGAATATACACTGGAAGTGCGCGCGTGTCAGGACAGGAAACCCAATGATACCTCGGCTCGCATTAAGGAGAACTGCAGTCTCAAAGCCATGACATCTGTCCGCACTCTACCACTCGGTTCGTCTCATTCTTATACCCAAATGTGTCCAACGAATCAATAGATTTCAATAACGTTTGCTTTCTATCAGACGGCGCCGACGATATCGATGAGTCAACCATTAGTTTCTATGAGGATAATAATAACACGGATTCCGATTCACGGATTCACTTGCGATGGGAACAGCCGATGGCACCCAACGGTTATATTGTCTCATATCATATCGAATATAAGAAAGTGTCGTCCGAATCGGTACCACTTGTCACCACTTAAGCAAACAATTGATTTTTAATGAAATCTGTTTGTATGTTGAATACCAGACCTATACGACTCCCGTTTGTATTACAAGAGATCAATATCATCGCCATTCAGGGTATATACTGCAAGACCTTTCAGCCGGCAATTATTCACTGAAGTTGAGGGCCCACTCATTGGCGAGTTGGAGCAACTGGACTAAACCGGTCTATTTTGTGGTGGCCGACAGGGGTGAGTCCCATGCAGTAGACATTGTTGCCAACGATGTGCTAATGTGTTGATGTCAACCAATAGAACCTCCGTATCCTCTGCTCATATACATTGCACTCCCGGTGGCAGTATTGGTCACCTTCTCATTCGTCATTCTCACCGGTGTTTTGTATATGAAGTACAAGAAAAATCAAGCGGTTCTCGACTACGGTTAGCTTTAAATTGTTATTTTATTGACACGGTTTGTGTCCAATTGTCACTGAATTTGTCGTCAACTTAATGGCAAAAACTGTTGACAGAATCGAAAGAATGCGTGAATGCAGTGAATGTGTGAATGAATGCAGTGATGAGAGCGTGAAAGTGAGCGCCAATTCAATGCTATTAATACTTTTTTTGTTAATTAATTACAGTCTCTGTGAACCCCGAATATATCAGTGCCGGACTCGGTATGTATTGTGTGTTTCATTGGGTATTAAAGTGTTTAATTGAAATTATGATCCAAAGCCTACGAACCGGACCCGTATTGGGAAGTACCGCGCGATAAGATCCGTGTGGGCAGAGAGTTAGGTCAGGGCTCGTTCGGTATGGTCTATGAGGGAGAGTATCTCAAAGAGAAGGATTCGCTGCGATGTGCTGTCAAGACAGTCAACGATCACGCGTCAGCCCGAGAACGCATTGACTTCCTTCAAGAGGCAGATGTCATGAAGTATTGCCTCAACACTCACCCATACATTCACTATAGACTACTATAATGTCTTATTTTAACTCAAATAAAGGTCTTTCGTTGACTGCAATCATGTGGTGAAACTGTTGGGAATCGTTTCGGTCGGACATCCAGTTTACGTTCTGATGGAAATCATGTCAAATGGTGACCTCAGGAGTTATTTAAGGTCCCATCGACCCGATAGTGAAGTAATAGAAACGACACTAATATTGAAATAAACTGTACTAAAAGGAGCCTATATTACAGGAGAACCCTAACGCCCAACCGCCCACTTTGGCTCAACTCTTGCAAATGGCTATAGAGATCGCGGACGGTATGGCATACTTGGGCTCAAGAAAGTTCGTGCACAGAGATCTGGCGGCACGTAATTGTATGGTCGCTGAAGACCTAACTGTCAAAATCGGTGACTTTGGGATGACCAGAGGTTTGCCAACAAATGAGTGTTTATTTAAATTGATTCTAATCTTAAATTGTGTTTTTATTAGACATTTATGAAACCGATTACTACAGAAAAGGGGGTAAAGGACTGCTACCCGTGCGATGGATGGCTCCTGAATCACTTAAAGATGGGGTATTCACTACACATTCAGACGTGTGGTCTTATGGTGTAGTCCTGTGGGAAATGGCCACTCTTGCCTCCCAGCCCTATCAGGGTTTGTCTAATGAAGCCGTTCTCAAGTATGTGGTCGAAGGCGGCAAAATGGAAAGACCCGAGAATTGTCCACAAAAATTGTATGCAATAATCGTTTTGAATAATTGAATGAAATTAATTGGACTTTGATTTCGTGTTCAGATGGGATCTGATGGCCCAGTGTTGGAGTCGAAGCCCTAAACATAGGCCCGCTTTCATAGAAGTGATACAATTTCTATTGAAAGACACAAATAGCCAACACTTCCTTAATGTTAGTTATTATTCAAAATTTTTGTCACAACAAAAACACAAGTCTTCGTCGCAATCAATAGCGGCCGACGATCTGTCGGTGCCATTGAAGCCGTTATCTAATAACATAGCCATTGATGAGAATCAGTTGGAAGCCTGTGATGACATTCATTTCTTTCCGTTGAGTCGACCCATTGGTATGACTCCTGAGAACGAAGCCATGACTACGAGTGAGATGGAGGACGAGAACTACGATATCGACACAATCGATGAGTATTCAAACGCCGAGCACTTACTCAGGGATGTGTCGACCGATAATCAAAACAATAAAAATCATAACAATATTAACACCAATAGTAATACCAATAGTAAGCAGTCGTCGGACGGCAGTAAAGGCAGCAAAATAAGTAGTACGACGTCTAATGGGAGTATAGCTAATGGACACGCAGTCCACTACAAGACAACTATGTGCTAACACTCACCACAAGACACACCAATTTGTAACAATACTTGCGATCAATACTTGAATACTTCATGACATGAGTTGTATATAATTATATGTAATATAAGTGCCATATATTGTATTCCAATTGTATATATATTTACATATTGTGTACTCAAATGCCTTCCCTCTTGGACTGCACTGTTTGTTGTAATTATTTATTAGTTATACATTTGGACTCATTTCTAGACAAATGAATGTAATTTAAATTTTAATCATTTTACATTGTATCTCATTGTGTAAAAAGTTATAGTTTTTATCAGTTGTTTGTATATAGCAATCATTGATCACACCTTTCATACATATTATTATAAATACATTAATATATGTTTTGATTTATTTATTTTCTGAACGCATAATCCAATGAAAGCCTTCCATATATTCATTAAAATCGATTGATTTGTTTAATTCAATAATCACTTCTTACCGTTAATACTGTTTTTGATAAACTTTCAAAGTTTCAAACTTTCAAACTTTCAATTGTCAATGCATTTCAAGTGTCAATGCACTTCAATGTTTGTGATGTAAGGCATCAATAATGTCTCGCTTTAATGACTAGTTGTGAGCCCACCTCCAGTGCTCTCAATGCTTGGCTTAAAGCAAATACGAGACATCCCTTATGGGCAGTTCGTACCATTAGTTTTATACAGTAGGTATTATTCATACTTTCATTAAATTAATATAACTTAATACTTCACCTATCCACTATTAATTGTAATTTATAAACTAAAATAAAACCATTAAAAATGTACAATCAATTTATATTACACAGAGTGTAATAATTAATATTAAAAAGATATCACTTAACGGTGTCTATTGTAAACGTAGTGAACTGTATGAGTGGTCACGTGGTCTCCATATGATGCTGTATTGGCGCCAATGATGTGTTTCCATTGGATTGTCATTTGGTTTGACAGACACTCGGAGTGATTGTGAAGTAAACAACATTTGATTGCATTCAGTGTTACTGTAGTAGTGTTGAGACAATACCAGTGATATGTGGCACACATTTGACCACAATTTGCCTCAATTTGGCTGCAATTCACTCACCAATACAGCGGACAATGAGTGTCAATACAAACACTTGAAGTGGTATTGCATTTGACTGTCATTTCATGCAAATTATACTCAATTTATGTCAATTTGACTCCAATTAAGGCTTTTGAGTGGAAGTCATGATTACA